TCTCTCTGCTCTCTCTCTCTCTCTCTCTCTCTCTCTCTCTCTCTCTCTCTCTCTCTGCCCATAAACAGAATGGCGCCCGCTCGTTCCCTTTTTTCTTTCCAGTCGAGACGAACCAAATGGGAGAAAGTTCTCGAAGCCGAAGCCGTAACGGAGAAGAAGAATGCTGATGGAGAGAGGGGAAAACAGCGGGAAGAGGAGGGGGGATGAGAAGAGCCAGTCTGTCTCATGGTCTTTGTATAGAACGAGTTTAGAACATCTTGTCTGGTCGTAATTAGCAGAGGGAAAAATCATTCTTTCTACCTTTTTTTTTAAGTTCTCGACGGTTGTTTTATTGTATGGGATTTGTTCTAAGGTTGTAATTAACGGCGAGAAACGTTGGAGAAAATAACTTTAAAAGTTTGTACTTTTTGTTACCTTCCATTTCTGTTTTCTGTTGCCTTATTGTATTATATATATATTTTTTAGACTATATATATATATATATATATATATATATATATATATATATTTTTTAGACAATACCTCAGAAATAGATATCAACTGGAAAGAATTTATATTGCCTCAGTTTATTTATATTAAGTTTTTTAATTAAATCAATTTTTTCGCTAATCATACCACCAAGTCTTATGCTATTTATATTGAAGTCTCCCATAAAATATTTCCATTTTCTATGGCTCCTTATTTACGTTTTCTAAATCGTTTTCGACTGCAGCCATGTCTCTATACCTAATACAATTGGCGTTCCTTTTCATGTTTTCTTTAGCGTAATATGTGTTGTAATGATCCCTGAGAAAGTTATTTTTCATAGGCTGACGTGAGAGATTTTTGTCGATTTTCTATAAATGTAGTTTGGTTATTATTTTATATATTTATTTAACATTTTCAGCTGCGTCAACGTCTATGGCGTACACATTAGGGCCATAGAAAGGTCATAATACAATATATTGTGGCAAAAAAAAAATTGAAATTAGTCAGCAATTAGGACAAAATATGTTAGTCAAAGGTCATTGAGCGCTGTTATTACAGTAATGGTTTATGGTGGAAACAAATGAATGTGGTAGGTCAGGGGTCGACAATCTTTTAAGCATAGTGTGCCAGTTTATAATTAATTCCTTCTTATTAATAACCTTGCGTGACAGTTTTTTTTCAGCACTGTATACCCAGATGTATTTTCCTGCACATGCATAACATTATATAATACTTAAGTACATATAGTGTTCTTTGTAACAAAAAAAATATGTTTTATAATTTTAGATTTACACTCACCTAATTAATATCTGGACTTGCTGAGCTTCAAACAGCCCTCAGAGTAAACCGTTGTAAGCCTGCTGCGATGAGGACTGAGGGTATGCTGAATATATGAAAACATCTGGCTTACAGTGGCATGTAGATCCAAATCCTGATTGCAATGTCAAGGCTACTTTCTTCATACAATTGAATTTATCAGACAGCGGTATCCGGGAACTTGATATGGTGGCTGTATGATCATTCGCAGTAGATTTCAATATTTCTCGATTATAAAATTTAACTGTACATAATAATGAGTCTCTCTATCTATCTATCTATTTATCTATCTATCTCTCTCTCTCTCTCTCTCTCTCTCTCTCTCTCTCTCTCTCTCTCTCTCTCTCTCTCTCTCTCTCTCTCTCTCTCTCTCTTCTCTCTCTCTCTCTCTCTCTCTCATATTATTCTGCTGTGTAACTTTCGTGCCAAAGGTTGCCGACTTCTGTGCTAGGCGCTAGACACCAAAGGTCATACAGCACTATGGTTTGTATGGTAGTGAAAAGGGCAAAGAGGAAATACCAAACGGAATACGATGTCCGTTTAGGTCTTTCATCCTTCCAGCACGGGTGTCACACTTCAGGATGTGGACAGTAGGCGATGAAGAAGAGAGAAATGAAAGGAGAAGAAAAGGCCATGCAAAATCAGTCGAGGCGAGGGCTGAGGTCCAAGGCAGGGGTGACCCCCACACATTAGGCCTCAGTCTCGGTCTCCTAAGCTCCCCACGACGACACGAGCAGGGACTTTGGGCCATTATGTCAAGTGCCTGATGAGGAAGGATTGGCTTTAGGCTTCAGGTATTCCCTGGAGTTACATCGTCACACACACACACACACACACACACACACACACACACACACACATACATATATGTGTGTGTGTATGTGTGTATTCGTATATTTATATAAATATATATATTGTTCTATAGCCTCATTCCAGTATAGGACACAGGACTGAATCCATTATTGAGAGGCTATTTGACAGCACTTTTGCCTGACTGAACGGCCTTCCTAATCACAGTCACGTCCCAGCACGGTACCTCTTTAGACGCAAAAGATTTCGAAACTGTTCTTATTTCTATAAATCGTTTGTGCATTGTGGGGTTTCCTGCCATATGTGTGTGCTGTGTGTGTGTGAGTGCATGTGTTATATTTATCTATCTATCTATCTATCTATCTATATATATATATATATATATATATATATATATATATATATATATATATATATATATATATATATATTCATCTATATGTGTGGGTGCGCGCTACCACTTGATTTCGAAACTTCTCTTATTTCCAATAAATTCTTTGTGCATTGTAGGGTTTTCTGCCAAACATACACACACACACACACACACACACACACACACACACACACACATATATATATATATATTATATATATATATATATATATATATATATGTGTGTGTGTGTGTGTGTGTGTGTGTGTGTGTGTGTGTGTGTGTGTGTGTGTGCATGTATATGTGTGTATGTATGTGAATAGATGTATGTATGTGTATATGTATATATGTATGTATATGTGTATATATGGGTAAGTATGTGTATATATATGTGTGTGTTATGTGTAAGCATGCGAGCGTGCATGCGTGTGTATATGTGTGAGCATGCGAGCGTGCGTGCGTGTGTGTTAATGTAGATGTGTGTAGGTGAGGGTGTACTTCACTGTACACAGGCATGTACTTAACATCGATGAATATCCGTTTACCGTAATCAGAACATTGGTAATTAACCGCCCAAGGAGGAATCACCATCAGCGACTGTTACTGATCTTAATACCTGCATTACCCATCATAACTATGGCTCATTTTCTAATGAAGTAACCATCAAGAATATATTTAGTGAATGCGCTTTTCGAATTCACAATTTACATCAATTCAGTGTGTAATTTTCAACCCAACAAATATTTCAACGAGCTTATAAATCGTTGACATATCGCATGGAAAAGAAATCACAGTTCATAGTACTTTACAGAAGAATGGGTCGTTCTAACAAAACTGCCGCGCGGAGTCATCAGTCTTACTATTTAAGTTTTTATCATTCACTGTCGAGTATCAGTAATGACATATGATAAATAAATTTTCTTAGAATTAACATCTAACTGTAATCTTTGCGTTAATATTATAATTCCCTAAGGGCGAGGATAGCTTAAAACATAACTGACTACCTAACAGCTCGTTCTAAGAGGCAAATGGAGGCATTATAGTAGTAACCTTCAGGCCAGTGTCGAATTCGCGGCAACCTAAGGCAGCAGTTTACTTCGGTGGGCAGGAGAGGCAGGTTCTCTCACTCTTCGTCGACGCTCTGTCACGTTTACCCGCCTTTCGTTTTCCTCAGAGGGCTTTCCTTTCTGTCTTTCTTAGTTTCTTGTAATTTAATGTAACTCCTTTTGCCAACTCTCTCATTATTTCACTTCGCTCTCTCCCTATCTCTTCGAATTACCAAAGAAATTGTTGGAGGAACGTTTACAAGAATTATTTGGTTTATAAGTGAAGGAAGAAATACATACTGATCTACTGTATACAGCGGGAAGAAAATATTTTTTTGAAGTTTACGTGACAGAACTTTACAAGGTGAGTTGTCCGAATTCATTATTTTCTGCGATGGTCGTTCATTTACCATCTAATAGATTCGCTGAATTTTCAAAAGACAGCATGAAACCTTTGTCTGCATTGCTGAGCAGACGTGCATCTTCTTGCATGCGTATGTGACGGCAGAACTATATACAAGAATTTCACAGGATATTTTATGGACAAGCACTTTTTTGTATAGAACAAATAGTTAAGTAAAACAAGATACGGTTTCAAACTAAGCATACAACTAATTCTTTCCCGCAGAATGGAATTTGCGCACATCTTGGCAGTGTTCCTCCTCTGTGGGGTTGTGGTCTCAGGAAGCGAGAGCCCCGTATGTCCTCTCCCGACACCTGGTCAGTGCGCGACGACAGCGAATTCTACAGGTACAGTGAAGTATTAAACTTAATTATAGTTTAACTGATTTGTAAAGCTTGGAATTCTTTCATGTGATTAGTTTTATTACTAATCTATACCCTCTGAATCTTTTCTGCAGAAAAGGTATGGCGCGTGTTTAGTTTGCAGCCCACCTTGAAGAAACTGGTGAGCCACTACTCCCCCTTCAAGGTGTGGCAGAGGCAGACCCAGCAGAAGCAGCAGTTGGGCTACCAGGAGGTTCAGTACACGCAACCGAAGACTACAGAGACCAAGTACTACAAGCCAAAGGAGTATGGCCCTCACTTCTTCAAACCTCAGTACCAACCTGTCTCTTACGCCGACGATAGTTTTTGATGTGTGTGATTCTATTTGTTATTTTTAAAGCGATGTCAAGAAAGGTATATTTTAATTCACTTTAGGCGCCAGGTTTTAATGAAGTCTTTTAATAAAGATGACAAATAAAATTATTTTTTTTATCCCTTCCCAAGGTTATTAAAAAAATATATATCAGAATCTTCTCACTGATAATGAGAATCCTCATTTTATTAAGTCTACACATAATTATAGTTATAAAACGGATAATGCCACAATTCTTAAGCTAATAAATTACCAGATACTTTAAGATAACAAAGATTGAGCTAGATCACAGCAAGTAATATTTGGTTTTATAGTAGTTCATTAGTACTGGCCAACTAAGCACCCACGTGATTGCATAAGAGGAAATGCATGTTTATTCCTTAACACGATTGTATAATCTCGTATCCTGCCATTTTAAAAGTTTAAACTAATACATATTGTCTTGGGAGCACAAGAATCTGCATTTCTCAGCCATAACCAGACTTTGGGTATTTAAAAATAAAATTAATGAAATAATATAAACTCGACCCTTCTATAAAAAAAAACTCGAGCTTCTGGAACCTCCCAGGACCCCCATTCTTCCACTGTTTTAGGTTGACATGTTGGAATATGCAGTGCCAGTTCTATATATTTTTAATGTGCCGATGAAGGGCGAAGCAGAAATCAGTCTTCTGGGTTCTTGGTGCAAGGCCATCGGAATTCCTGACCCCACTCGTGGAGCCACAGGTTAGCGACTGTAAAACAAAGGTGTATTAATAGCTTGGTATAATTGGTTTTCGTGCAGAAGTTTAGACAGCGACTGATCAGCTGTTTCCAGTCTAATCGGATTGCACTCATTATATTAAGATCCTGGGTTAATGTTTCCGAGAGCGACGCACAAGAGGGAATGGACACCATCTTATAGAGCATAGTCATGAACACTGCAGATGCTGTGGCCTTTATTTACCGCGAAATAACGGAAAACTGGGTTCGTACATTTATCGAAGTTCTGACTTTTTAGAGGTTTTGGCATTTTTCAATGACGCTTGTTTTCCTTGAACATTTGATGCATTTTCACAATACCTACATCCCATTATAACGAGTAAAATTATTCTAATTCAATATCAGTGTTACCAAATATAATATGACGAGTATGCTTTATTGCCACTTCAGGGTCAATTTAGGCTTTGTATTTTTTCAACTTTTCATTCAGTTACCTCAAACTTCACAAGTTTGTTTCTTTCTGAAGACTCGGAACATTAATTAAAAAAACATATCTACGTCAGAGTTCTAAATGTTTAGGGAGACAAATACTAAATTAACATGATTTTCTAAACGTGAAAACATAATTCCATGATATTCCAGGTCTAGAAATGTCTATTTCCATGATTTTTCCTGATTCTCCAGGACCCGCGCGAAATCTGGGAAATATCCGCTGCACAGCCAGAGTTATTAATGTCGTGTTTTCTACAATTTGACACGAAGTACTTATAAAGGGAACTAGCACATTTATTTTTTCTGTCATTATTACTTACTTATAAAGGGGAGGGGGTACAGGGGGGCTTTCCCACTGTCAAAGGAATAGAGAAGGTAGGAAAGGTTAGGTTTGGATTTTGGGGATGTGTGATACCCTAGTTTTGGGACTGTCTCTGGAGGGTGAGTTGCTCTCGGTAACCAATTTATTTATTGAAATTTTCTGCAACATCTAAGGCCATTCATGGCGTATTCAAAATATTGCGGTAGGTTAAGCTTGCGGCAAATCCCCCCAGGTAAGGAAAGGTCATCCACCACTACTAAAATATTGCGGTGAAAAGAATAAAATATGAGTTAACGCTTAAGTCAGAATATGTTAGATGCCACAGGTTAGGAAAGCGTTGTTAGTTAGTATGGTAGTGAAAAAAGGTCTCCCTCAAATCTTCCCAAGCGCAACTTACTCCACTTTTCCCCCAAGAGGACCGGGCAGGAGGCGTGAACGGTGCGGTAGTCTCCCTCGCCGTTCCGCTTGATGTTGAACCAGAAAAGCGCCGATCCTTTACGAGCAGGAACCTCGACGCCCAACGTGGGAAAGACCGTTGACCCGCCGGCCTCCACGTCGTTAAGCTGAGGGTGGGTTTTCATTTGTTAGTTGACGGTTTATCGGTCTATTGATAACGTTTTTGTAATGTTAGGTAAATAGGGGGGTTATTATAAAGATTGTAGACAATTATATTATATATAAATTATAAATTATTGTAGCGTTAGGTAAATAGGGGGGTTATAAAGATTGTAGACAATTATATATATAAATTATAAATTATTATGAAGATTATTGGCAACGTAGAGCAAGGGTGGCCATAGATTATTATAAATATTGTAGATAACGTAGAGCAGGGGTATGGCCAGCCTTTGTGAAGTATGATCTACTTTTTCTACAGTTGCCCTGATGCGATCTACCAGCCTATGTTTCAGACTTAAAAATAATTGTATGTTGTTCAGACATGTCCATCATTATAAATATAAATATAACTTATTCCCAGACAAAATAGAAATATAATAATCCAAGTATATGAGTACTTGGACATGCTATTGCAGCTATTTGCATGACAACTTCTGAAGGACGAATTATTAACAAGTACAGTAGTGTGATCGACTTAAAACAGGCTTGTGATCGGTGTTTAATTTAAGGGTTTTGAGCAAGGATGGCTACCTGTGTCCGGAGTTTGGGTTGAAAATTATGGTTTAGTTTAGTTACCGTGTGAATGTGCATATAGGCCTATCATTTTTTTTTTTTTTTTTTTTTTTTGAGGGGGGGGGGTGGATTCACTGTGTTATGTATATATTCGTTCATGATTCGTGGTCTTTATGTTGGTACTTTCGCATACCCTGGTTTGGAATGCACTGCAATATTATGTTGGAGCATTTGATGGCATTCGAATTAAGACAATAATTTTTACTAAAACGTGATGGGTTTAATATTAAAATTAAAAATTGTTAGACGAGACGACTTTATCCGTCACTCGCTTCTCTGATCCTGTGTGATTACTTTTACACATAAAAGTTGCACGTTCTGCTCTTTTACTTTCTGTTGCGAAAGGAAAACTCCCGGAAAACTTGCAAAAAGAATTTCGTTGTCGTTCCTGAGTCATCACTTTTAGTATACGAATTTCCTTCCAGTTTCAAAAGTTTCGAAGCTGTTTCGTCGCACTTTTAAAAAAATGATAAAATGAAATAAAATAAAAATAAAAACTTACATAGAAGAGCATAGTGGCGAGTCGGTCTCCTTGGTGTGGATCCTTATCTATGGATTTCTGAAAAAAAAAAATAATAATAATAATAAGACAAATGTAGATACTTAAAAACAAAGATTCAACCGAAACTCACATTCTCAAGTTTTGGAATATATTAATTACGTAACTTCCTGGAAATGCTTGTGTTTCATAGATATTGCCAAAATATGTAAAATTTTCAAATCCAATCGTGTTATATGACCGGTTTCTTTATAAGGACATGCATATCCACTGGAATAAATACATATCTATCAGTCTAAACATGCATATCTACCATATAGATAGATAGATAAATGTGTATATCTATATGATAAATAGACACATATGATAGGCCTATACGCATTTATTCCTGTGTATACACTCGTCTGTATATACGAGTGTTCATTGGCACGAGGGTCTCACAATATTAAGAATCCGGTCAATAAATTTCTTTCCTTCCCGTTATGACTCTTTCTCGATTTATCTCCTTCCCGACTTGACTTGTTCCTGTTTTGTCTTCTTCCCGATTTTGACTCCTTGAATTGACTTTTTCCCGATTTCTCTCCATCCTAATTAGACTCCTCCCCGATCTGCCTCCCACAGAGAACCCCAACACAACCCCCTCACCACACCAATCCCCCTCCCCTTCCCCTTCCCCTTCTCCCTTCTCCCCCCCCCGCCCCCCGCCCCCCAAACAACCCACATCTCCAACCCACGCTCTGCAAATCGAAGAAATCCACGTGGGCGTCGTAGTGTCCTCCGATGCCGTAGTTGAGCACGTGTAGGTCCTCTGCCGTTTCGGTGGTGAGTCCGGTCATGTCCTCGATGCGAGCGAAGATCTTGTCCACGTTGGTGTCGTCGCCGCGCCGGACCACGCTCTGGTGGTTGTTGAGGGGGGGGAGATGGGAGAATTTGGGTGAGATTGGGGGTGGGGGAGGAGGGTGGGGGGTAAGAGGGGTAGGGGAGGGATGGAGAAATTTGGGTGAGATTGGGGTGAGAGAGGGGGGAGGGGTAGGGGAGGAGGGAGGATTGGGTGATGGGAGGTGAGATAGTGGGGTGGGAGGTTGGGTGGGGGAGGGGAGAATTTTGGTGAGATTGGGGGTGAGGGAGGATGGGGGTGGTGGGAGGAGATGGGGGGTGAGAGGGGGAGGGGATGGGGTGGGGGTAGGGGTGGGAGGAGATGGGGGGAGAGGGGGGAGGGGTGAGATTGGGTGTGGGAGGGAGGGGGAGGTTGGGTGGGAGGGAGGGGGAGGGAAAGGATTGGAGGTAAGATGGGAGAATGTGGGTGAGATAGTGGGTGGGAGGTTAGGTGGGGGAGGGGGGAGAGGGGAGAGGATTGGGGGACGGAGGGAGGGGTATGGGGGGGAGGGGGGATGGGTGAGGTGGGGGAGAGGGAAAGAGATGGGAGAATTTGGATGAAATGGGGGAGGGAGGATGGGTGGGTGAGGGAAGGGGAGATAGGGGTGAGGGAGGGGGGATGGGGAGAGGGAAAGAGATGGGAGAATTTGAGTGAGATATGGGGTGAGATAGTGGGGGAGGGAGGTGGGAGGTGGGGGATAAGGGTTGGGGGAGGGAAGGGGGTGGGAGAATGTGGGTGAGATTGGGGGGAGGGGGGGAGGGAGGGAGAATGGGTGAGGTGGGAGGGGAGGGAGGTGGGGGAGAGGAAAGAGATGGGAGAATTTGAGTGAGATGGGGGAGATAGTGGGGAGGGAGGGAGGATACTTGAGAAGGGGGGAAAGTGTGAAGTAGGGAGCATGGAGACGGGAAGAAGGGAAAATGGAAAATAGCACTGGGTGAGATGAGAGAACGAGGGTAGAATGGAGACGTGGAGAGAGAACTAGGAGAGAAGGGGAGCGAGGAAGAGACAGAAAAAATATTGCAAAATAGTCTATACTTATGAATTCAGGAGAACGCCTTATAGATAGATAGATAGATAGATAGATTTGCGTGTGTAGTGTGCGTGTGTGTGTGAAAGAGTGTGAGTGCGTGTGTGTGCGTGTGCGTGTGCGTGTGTGCGTGTGTGTGTGTGTGTGTGTGTGTGGTGTGTGTGCGTGTGTGCGTGTGCGTGTGTGTGTGGTGTGTGTAAAGGCGTTTAAGTCTGCTTAGCTTCATAGATTTATTCGTAGCATGTACATTTTTATTAAGATATAACATGACAGACCAAAAATTCCAAAGAATTTAAACCTACAAGCAAAATTAACTATACCCTTACCAGACTCACACTCACGTTCACACTCACCTTGCACATAATGCCACGCTCACACCCTCGCTCTCACTCTATCTATCTCTGTTTATTTCTGTCTGTGTCTATCTCTATATATCTCTGTTATTTCTCTCTATCTATCTATTTTTCATTTCTCTCTATCTCTTCTGTTTATATCTATCTCTATCCCCTCCGTTTTATTTCTGTTTATCTCTATCTCTATCTATCTCCATCCTATTCGCTCACAATCTACACACACATACGCGCACACAACACACACACAAACACACACACACACACACACACACACACACACACACACACACACACACACACACACACACACACACACACACACACACACACACACACACACACACACACACACACACACACACACACACACAACACACACATACACACAAACACACACACAAACACACACACACACACTCACTCACAACACACACATACCTTCCCTTCCCTCCCCTCTCCACCCCCTCCCCCGCCCCTCCCTCCCCCCCCTCCCTCCTCTCCCCCTCCCCCCTCCCCCTTCCTCTCCCTCCCCCTCCCCACCCCATCCTCCATCCCCTCCCCCCTCCACCCCCTCCCCCCATCCCCACCCCCTCCCCCCCCCATCACTCACGTCTTCCCAATCCTGGCGATGGACTTCTTGGCCTCGTGGGTCGTGAAGGAGTGCACCTGCGTGGTCTCCAGGCGCGGCAGGGAGATGCGTTTCATGAGCTCCGTCTCCGCCTCCGTCATGACCTCGTGGTAGACAACGACGATGGGATCCGCCCACTTCAGCTCGGCTTTGAAAGGCATGAGTCTGTGGTATCCCGAGTTGCCGTGGACGAAGCCGCACTTCATTCCGATGTAGGCTTCTGGGGGCTGGCGGAGGGAGCTCATCGTTAGTTTCAGGTTTTTGTTGTTGTTGTTATTAGTGATTCGTGTTATTTTGTTATTAATGTTACTGTTTCGTGTTATTTTGTTGTTATCAATAGTGATTCGTGTTATTTTGTTATTACTGTTACTGTTTCGTGTTATTTTGTTGTTATTATTAGTGATTCGTGTTATTTTGTTTTTACTGTTACTGTTTCGTGTTTTTTTGTTGTTGTTATTAGTGATTCGTGTTATTTTGTTTTACTGTTCTGTTTCGTGTTATTTTGTTTTTACTGTTACTGTTTCGTGTTATTTTTTATGCTTTTGTTGTTGTTATTATTAGTGATTCGTGTTATTTTGTTTTTACTGTTACTGTTTCGTGTTATTTTCTTTTTACTATTATTGCTTCGTGTTATTTTGTTATTACTGTTACCGCTTCGTGTTATTTTGTTTTTACTATTAGTTTCGTGTTATTTTTTTACTATTACTGTTTCGTGTTATTTTTTATGTTTTTGTTGTTGTTATTATTAGTGATTCGTGTTATTTTGTTTTTACTATTAGTTTCGTGTTATTTTTTAACTATTACTGTTTCGTGTTATTTATTTTACTGTTACTGCTTCGTGTTATTTTTTTTACTATTACTGTTTCGTGTTATTTTGTTATTACTGTTACTGCTTCATATTATTTTGTTATTATTACTTCTATTAGTGTTACTATTATTAGTTACTATGAGAGTGGTTTGCAATTGCTATTATCATCATTATTATCATTGCTAATCTACATATAATCATCATCAGTCAATCATCATTATCAGTCACCATAACTATCATGATTGTTATTATCACCATCACAATGAATAACTTTTATTGTTATATTAAGCAAAAATAGTTGTGGTATAAAGGGTAAATTTTTATTTTCATGGCGATATTTTCAGTGGGAACTTAGCCGACTGATTTTTTTTTTTTTTTCATTTCTTAATTCTTAATACAAGTTGTATGATTTTCTCCCTACATTAAACTGTACCGCACGCTTATTTTATATTGTGCAACACCAGCAACTATTTTTGTTTAATATAAGACACCAGCATCTAACCGTTCGTTACAATTGAAAAACATATTTTAAGTAAAACAATTGTAATATGTTTTTATTATTTGTTATGCGCCTTTATGCCTGACACCCAGCTATTTTTGCTAAGTATAAGGGGGTAAATTTCGATATACATCAGTTGAAAAGGGGTGGAATACGGAATATAAGTTGAGAAACACTAACTGTCATTTGTATGCTAATGTATTGAGTAGTTATCCATATCATTCTTTATCGTTTTCTTCGATTCCATATCTTGAGAAAACGAAGCGATATCTGGGTACACTATTATATTTCTTACTGATAACTATCTACAGCACTAACCTAGCACACAACTTTAAAATAATTTTCAAATAGACTAATAATCTAGAATCTTAATCAAGTCCGCGCAAACGTATTGCATTAAGCCTCATAAATATAGTACTCTGTCATGCAAATGTGTCTTAATGGTATATTACGTTATAATACAGTGGAACTTATAATAAGCACTTCCTAGACTTGGCAGCCTCTCTCCGTCCCTTCTCCTCCCCCCTCCTCGTCCTCCTCCTCCTCTCCTTCTCCTCCTCCTCCTCCAACTCCTCCTCCTCCTCCTCCTCCTTCTCCTCCCTCCTCCCTCCTCCTCCTCCTCTTCCTCCTCTCCTCCTCGATCCACTCTTAATCTCCTTTTCCTCCTTCCATCCCCGTCTCCTTCCTCCCTCGCTGTTCTTCTTCTCTTGCCCCTCCCTGCCCCTGTCTCCCTTCTTCTCGCCCTTCCCTCCTTCTATCACTGCCCCCCCCTCTCTGTTCTCCGCCTTACCCTTCCTCTCCTCCTATCTCCCTATCTTTTTGTCCTCCCTCCTCTTTCAATCCCTGTTTTGCTGCTCCTCACCCTCCCTTCCCTACTCGTTTCATCTCTGTTTCTTCCTCCCCTTCCTATTCTTCCCTTTCCCCCACCTCAGTCCTATCGAGCCTTCCTTTTTTACCCTTCCCTCCTCCCTCCTCCTTTATCCCTCCCTCCTCCTCTATCCTCCCTCCCTCCCTCCTCCGTTATCCTCCCTCCCTCCCGTCCTTCCCTCTGGCCCTCCCTCTATCCCTCCCCTCCTCTCCCTCCCATCTTCCTCTATCCTTCCTTCCCTCCCTCCCTCCCTCTATCCTTCCCTCCCTCCCTCTATCCTTCCTCCCTCCCCATCTCCTCTATCTTTCCCTCCCTCCCCACCTCACCCCCCCCCCGCAGAAAAAGGTATTAAAAAAAATCCCTCTCGACTCAGGTTAATTCCCTCTCACCTGGATCTGCTCCCGCGGCAGAGTCGTCGGTACAGGTTATCCAGCCTATTAACCTGCTCGTAGTCCTTGTGCTCGGAGTAGATCTTCTTCTGGAACGACGTCGGGATCCCCAGGCCCGAGAACTGGTCCAGGATCCTGTCGTTGGAGTTCTGGGCCATGTTGGTCACGATGTCCGCCTGCCGGGAGGAGGAGAGTCGAGGAGAGCGGCTGGTGTGGGTGGGGGAAGGTTTTTTCTGTGTGTGTGTGTGTGTGGGTGGGTGGGTTTGTGGGTGTGTGGGTGGGTTGGGTGTGTTTGTGTGTGTGTGTGTGTGTGTGTGGTGTGTGTGTGTGTGTGTGTGTGTGTGTGTGTGTGTGTGTGTGTGTGTGTGTGTGTGTGTGTGTGTGTGTGTGTGTGTGTGTGTGTGTGTGTGTGTGGACTATCCTTGTATGTGGGTGTATTTGCGGGTCAGATAAATAGGCTTGTTTGTTTTTTTCCGTTTTTTTGTTTTGGAGGAGAGTGTCCTGTGGCCACATGACAGCATTCCGTATACTCCACAATAATCTTAAATAGTGAGATATAATCCAGTAAGCAGCTAAAATTAAATAAAAAATAATCTTAAATAGTGAGATATAAACCAGTAAGCAGCTAAAATGAAATAAAAATATCCTATGGGTATATAAGAGAGAGTGGGTAGTATTTTCATATTTTTTTTAATGAAGCGAAATAACATAAGGGTATCCTACCGCATCATCCCGCGGCTTAGTAAGCATATTTCTCTACAAAATATGTCCCTTACGTCCAGATGGATATGGAACCACCTCTGACTTTGATCCACCTACAATAACAAACCCCAAAATATCACCCTTCACCCTCCTCTGCTTCACCCTTTCCCCTTCCTCCCCACCTACAATAACAAACCCCAAAATCACCCTGCCTCCTCTGCCTAACCCTTTCCCCTTCCTCCCCACCTATAATAACAACCCCAAAGCACCCTTCACCCTCCTCTGCCTAACCCTTTCGCTCTTCCGCCCCACCTACCAGCATAGCCCGGTGTTTCTGCTGCTTCGTAATCTTATCAATCCTCTTCTGTGTCTGTCTGTCGATGGGACGCGAAGCCCTAAGCATCTCTATCCCCTTCTCGTACCAGGCTTTGCTCAGCTTGAACTCCAGGTTGTTGAAGCTCTGTTGGCCCAGGCGGAAGCAGTCGTCCACTGGAGAAGGGGGGGGGGGGGAAGGGAGGATGTGGAGGTGTATTAGCATCTGATTGTCAGTAATAATATCATTTTATATCATGGGTATTAAGTATCTTCGTTATTATTGCTGTTATCATTTTTATTATCACAATCGTCAACATAATTTTACCGATATTGGTATAGTCTTTATTATAATCATTATTATTATCAGTATCATCAAGATCATTCTTATTATGCATTGCTTCGTCTCGCCACCTTCGGTTAGTTTGACCTTTCCTTAAACACATTCCAGAATCGCAACATTATCCCCCCGACCACTCAGAAATCCCCGAGAAGAAAATCCTAAAAAAAACAAATAACTAAAAAAAAATAAACGAATAAATGAATAAATAAATAAATAATCCCCAGAGCCGAGAAGGTGTCCCTCCCGCGAGAACGTCCTACCTGAGAGCTCCTTGACGGCCTTCGTGCCCAGGATCTCGCCCTCCACAAGGTCATTGACGGACAGGTTGTAGGTATCCTGAAGGCGGACCAGCGCCCACGCGGCTCCGTTCAGGTCGGCTTCTTCGGGGACGTCGACGCCGTTGCGCAGGGAGGTCAGGTTGGCGCGCAAGGCTGACGAAGGAAGCGAGAGGAGGCGTTAGGAGGGATAAGGAAGAACATGAGGGAACAAAGGATATATTGAAAATAAGCAGCGTAAACATTGTACTTAAAATGAGATGTTGATAAGGTACTGGATGTGAGGGAAGTAGATTAAAGAATAAAGTCCAAGGGAGATGTATATAGTAGGAAGAATACATAAAACTATTTGTTGGGAAAAGAAATCTTGATGGGACATTTTACTGTTTTAGTTTGTATAAGAACATTTTTGTAATCTGATAGTGTATGCCAACCATTTTTACTTTGGATTTGCCCTAGAACCAGTAGAATTTCTTAACATCTGGCAACATAACTTCAGAAAAAGTGATAACGAAGGAGAAGCACAACTGAAGTGCGAATAATACCACCAGATTCTTCGTAAAATCTGGGCACATTGATGCGTATTGAAGTAAAAACGATGAAGTAAAAACCATACACGGGAGATCAAACCATCTCTCGTTATCAAAACCCTTCAACTTTACACTTGACAAAATAACACTCCATGGCTCGACGCGTCTCACAAGTCTCAACTGCTTCGAACGCTTCACTCACAACGAACGAAGCAACCGCGATTCAAAAGCCACCCTGAGAACGGCCCAAGTCATAAACACGGTGATATTTTTCCATCAGCTTCATCACACACGCCCTCACACAGATGAAGAATAAGAGAGAAAAAAAACCCTCATCATGATAGATATAGACGCATCTGTTGGTGTTTTCCAGCTGGTGATAACGGGCATGAAGCGCCGAATAAAGAAGTTGTGTCGAGTGAGGGTCCGAGGCCGCTAACAGTAGGTGACGCAGCGACTTCGGTGTGTGAATATTTTAGGTGCTTATCCGCTCTCTTTTGTTCCCTCTTACGGTATCTTTACCTCTGTGCCTTACCTGTTGATGCGGAAGGAAGGTAAGCTTGGATAATGAATTACTTCTTTGGTGTATCTGTGCGATCTTCTGGATTTGTTTTGTTTTTTGTTTTGTTTTGGTTTTGTCTCCTTTATGATTCTTTCCACCTCTCCTCTTATTCATTTCATGGACGAATCTAATTTCTATATTTCCCCTCTTTTCCTCCCTTCCCTTCCCTTCTCTTTCCTCCTTCCCTTCCCTTCCCTCCCCTTCTTTCCTCCTTTCCCTTCCCTCTCCCTCTCTCCCTTCCTCCCTCCCTCCCCTCTTTTTCCCCTCCCTTCCCTTCCTCCCTCCCTCTTCTCCCTCTTTTCCCTTCCCTCCCTCCCTCCCTCTTTTCCTCCCTTCCTCCCTCCCTCCCCTCCTTTCCTCCCCCTTTCCTCCTCCCTCTTTTCCTCCCTTCCTCCCTCCCTCTCCCTCTTTTCCTCCCTTTCCCTCCTCCCTCCCTCCCTTTCCTCCCTTCCCTCCTCCTCCCCCTCTTTTATTCCTCCGTCCCTCCTTTCCTCCCTTCCCTCCTTTCCTCCCTTCCCTCCATCCATGCCTTTCCTCTCTCCTCCTTCCTCTTCCTCTCTCCCTTCCTTCTCCCCCTCCTCCTTTCCTCTCTCCTATCCATCCCTTCCTCCCTCCTTTCCTCTTCTATCCATCCTCTCTCCTTCCCTCCCTCCCTTTCCTCTCTCCTATCCATCCCTCTCTTTCCCTCCTCCTTCCCTCTCCATCCCTCTCTTCCTTCCCTCCCTCTTTTCCTCCCTTCCCTCCCTCTTTTCCTCCCTTCCCTCCCTCCCTCTTTTCTCCCCTCCCTCCCTTCTTCCCCCTCCCTCCCTCCTCCCGCTTCCCTCCCTCCCCTCCCTTCCTTCTTCCTTCCTCTCTCCCATCCTCTTCCCTCCTCTCTCTCCATCCTTCCCTCTCTCCATCCTTCCTCTTCTCCCTCTTCCCATCTCCCATCCTTCCCTCTCTCCCATCCTTCCCTCTCTCCATCCTTCCTCTCTCCCACCATCTTCCCTTCCTTCCTCCTTCCTCTCTCCCATCCTTCCAACCCTCCCCCTACTCTCTCTCCATTCACCTTCCCTCCTCCCTTCTCTCTCCCATCCATCCATCCTTCCCTCCCTCCCTTCCTCTCTCCATCCATCCATCCTCCTCCCTCCTCCTCCTCTCCTTCCTCTCTCCCATCCATCCATCCTTCCCTCCCTCCCTCCCTCTCTCCCTTCCTCTCATCCATCCATCCATCCCATCCTCCCTCCCTCCCTCCTTCCTCTCTCCATCCATCCCTCCCTCCTCCCATCCCTCCTCCTCTCTCCCTTCCTCCTCCTCTCTCCCTCCCTCCCTCCCTCCCTTCCCTCCTCCTCTCTCCTTCCCTCCCTCCCTTCCTCCCTCCCCTTCTTCTCTCCCTCTTTTCCTTTCTACCGATGTCTCCCGTTCCTTTCTCCAACCAACTCAACACCCAACCTTCCCGATCCACTGTTACCAGAACACCCACCGCCTCACCTCTCGTTGCTGTGTCCCTAAGAGCGTTTTTTAAAGCTGGGAACTCTTGTGTCACGCGCCGCAGGAAATGGTAACTGTTGATAGGATTGTGTACGTAGTCGACCGCGCTGCCTCTGTGCCAGTCGTTGATGTAACTGTCGAGAGAGAACGTGTTGTTAGGAGAGGTGGAATTTAGGTTTTGTAAAGTTGAATGCGTTTCGAAATAAGATGACGGATTTGTAAGTTTATCTCACAAATCAGTCATCTTATTTCGAAACGGGGAAGATTACATTAGAAAATTGGTATAAAGTGAAGAGATCCCACATTTGATACAAAATTTATAACTTATTTCATTTGCACAATAAGCCTTTACATTTGATCAGAACTATATTGCATTAGACTGCGGACTTTGTTTCTTCATATTGTTGTAAAATTAAACATTTATTCCTGGAATTATATTAGGTGTGACTGTTGACTTGGTCAAACCATTTTCGTGTAAAACGTGATAAATGATGTTGAATATATTGCGAATCTACAATATGGGAATCTAAATCTGAATCGATCATTAACATTATTGCTATTATTGTTATTGTTGCTATTATTTTTGTTTTTATTGTTAATATCATTACCTTTATTATTATTATAATCATTATTTTCATTATCATCACCTTCATTATCACTATCTTAATTTTTATTATTATTATCTGCATTGTTATCTTTACTATTAGATTCATATTATCTTATTATTTCATTATCATTATCACCTTTATCATTATTATTACCTTTATCATTATCATTATCCTTATCATTATCATCATTATCATCATTTTCCTTCGAGTTAAGTAGTTAGACCGTCAGTTTCTACACATTTATTATTTACTGGGAGGTAGCAGAGAAAGGGAAAAAAGAGGATGGAAAGGAAGGGAAGAGAATAAGGAAGAAATGGAGGGGGAATTGAAAGTGGAAGAGAAGGCAAGTGTGAAGGGAGGGAGGGGGGATTTAAGGAAGCTTTGGGAGAGGAAAAGGGGAAGCGAAAGGTAGAAAGAGGAGAGTAAAAGTGGGAGAGAGGAATTTCCTTAGGTCCCGCTTATGAACAAGCTAATAACTTAACGTGACGCAGTAAACCATTCTGGGTGTAAATGGAATTGTTAGCAAAATGTAATTAATTGCAGAAAATTAAATGATACACAACGATCGTGTACCTATACTAATACAGGTACAGAAGATAAGAAATAGACGGATACATAGACCGATAAACGAGTCAATAACAGAATGAAAACACAAGCGAAATAAAGTGAAATAAAGATGTGGGAAAAAAAGATATTGTTGTAACAAATGGAAATGCTTGAAACTATTAAAATGTTTAGATATAGAAGAATGGTACATTTATCTATATTGAAAAAAATATGCGTGATTTTGGCTCATCAAAATGTACGGTTTTACATAAGTTGCTTTGCATATTTCTGTGTTCAAGAAATACGATTTTACGCATTAAGTGTATTATAAAGTATTTATTTACATATCGGTTATTTGTTATTAGATATTTATTTGATATCAATTTATTCATTCCTTATTTGCTTAGTTATTTTTAAGTAACTGTTATGGTATAGTTAACTGGAATTATTTATTCGTTAATTAATTAGCTAATATGATATCGGAAAAATAGTGAAACTGCACAGATTTATACGGTAATTTTAAGCAGAAATACCATACTGATTTTAAGATTTATACGGTAATTTTAAACAGAAATACTATATTGAATTTAAGAGAGAATAAAAAATGAAAAGATAGAAATAAAGAAAAGTCCTCAAAAACATCTAGAAAAGGTATGAATGAGTAAAATATCTTATAATACAAGAGATGTATTTGACAGGTTTCGAATACATCATATCGTCTGGAATACATGATGAGGGTGTATTCGAAATATATATCTCTTGTATTGTGGAGATATTTACTCTCATTTATACCTCTTCTATATTGTGGAAATCGGTCAAGTCTTTATTTTTATTGTGAAATTTTATTCTCATTCATACCTCTTCTATATTTATCACCGTAAATACTATTCCTCAAAACGTATCTTTTGAAGCAAATAGACCAGAGTTATTGTTTACGTTAATGACCTGTTTCTGTGTCCTTGTTTCCTGCTAATCCTTCTATTTTTATTCTACTTCCTGTTCCAAGTTCCCCGTTTCCTTAATTATTTTGTCTTTTGTTTCCTCTCGTTTCGTATTTTTCCCTTATGTCTCCTTATTTCTTCAGTTCTCCCTATTTCTTCTCCGTTCTTCCTATTTCTTATGCGTTTCCCTATTTCTTCTCCGTTCTTCCTATTTCTTATGCGTTTCCCTATTCCTTCTCCGTTCTCTCCATTTCTTATGCGTTTCCCTATTCCTTCTCCGTTCTCCCTATTCCTTCTACGTCTCCCCATTTCGTCTACGCCTCCCACCCCCTAGTTCCCTTTCCTCCAATGTCGACAACGTCTCCTAATTTCATTTGCACAAACAAAACCACAAGCAAAGGGAGGGACAGAGAAGCTCCTCTGCGATTATCACGGGAGTCGGCCGCCGCGAGAGCTATGAGGCAAAAACACGCCGTAGGCATAATCACGTGTTTTATTTCTCCTTTTCTTTTTGTTTCTTTCATTCTTTCGTGTTTTTTCTTTCTCTCCTTTCTTTCTTTCCTGCTTCTCCCTTCGTGGTTCTGTCGACGAGGTTTTCTGTGCTGTATCTCTTGTTTGGTTTGCGTGTTTTTTTCCATGAATCAGATTTTTTTCTCTCTCTGATTCTAACATTTTTTTCTCTCTTTTTTCCCTTCTTTCTCTTCTCTCTTTCTCTCTGTCTCTCTCTGTCTCTCTCGTCTCCGTCTCCGTCTCCGTCTCTCCGTCTCTCCGTTCTCCGTCTCTCCGTCTCTCCGTCTCTCCGTCTCCTCTCTCTTCCCTCTCTCCTCTCTCGTCTCTCCCTCTCTCCCTCTCTCCCTCTCTCCTCCTTCCTCCCTCCCCTCATCTGCTCTCCATCTATCTATCTTATCTATCTTCGAAAAAAATAGATATAACCAGCGGAAGGGCGAGGCGGTGCGCAGTTCCCGGTAGCTCACCCCGCCCACCTGACTTGACAGACAGACAGACAGACTGATGGAGGGTTTTGAGATGTGATACTGACCGCGACGCTATGAGCGGTGAAGGGCGGGCGGGTAGGTGGGCGGGCCGAGGAGGAGGAGGAGAATGGGAGGGAGGAGAGAAAGAGGGAGGGGGGGAGGAGGAGGAGGAGAAGGGAGGGGAGGAGGGGGGGAGGAGGAGGAGAATGGGAGGGGAGAAAGGGGGGAGGGAGGAAAGGAGGAGGAGGAGGAGGAGAAGGAGGAGAATGGGAGGGGGGAAGGAGGAGGGAAGGGGGGAGGAGAAAGAGGGAGGAAGTAGGGAGGGAAGGGGGGGGAGGAGGAGGAGAAAGAAGGAAGAAAGGGGGGAGGAGGAGGAGGGAGAAAGAAGGAAGAAAGGGTGGAGGAGGAGGGAAGGAGAAGAAGGAGGGGAGGAGGAGGAGGAAGGACGGGGAAGGAGAAGAAATGCAAGGAAACAAAAGGAAAGGAGAAGGAGATGATGGAAAAGTAGGAGAAGAAAACAAGAGGAGGGAAGAGAGAAGGAATAGGAGAAGAAACGTAAGGAAAGAAAGGAAGACAGGGAAGGTGAGGAAAGGAGTGAATAGATGATAGTGAACTGGAGAGAAGTAGTAGGGAGACGAGGAAGGCTAGGCAGGGGGGGGGTAAGAGAGGGGAGGGGGTGAGAGAGAGAGAGGAGGGAGGGGGTGAAGAGAGAAGGAGGAGGGGGGGTGAGAGAGAGAGGGAGGAGGGGTGGGGGAGAAGGGGAGGAGGAGAGGGGGTGAGAGGAGGAGGCTAGGCAGGGAGGGGGTGAGAGAGGAGGAAGGAGGGGGTGGGGAGAAGGGCGAGAAGGCTGAGAGGGAGAGGTGGTTGGGAAGGCGAGAGGATAGGGGTGGGTGGGTGGGTGGAGAGTGTGAAGTGGGGAGGGGGGGGGAGGTGACGAAGAGGTGGGGGGTGGGGGTGAGTGGCGTGGGCAGGTATGCGCGTGAGGTGGAGGGGAGGGGGGGTAGGGGAGGGAAAGGGGTGGGGATAGAAAAGGGAGACTATTAGAATAGTATACAATTATATATATATATTTATAGATAGATAGATTAGATAAGATAGATAGATATAATATAATAGATATAGATTTTTCCCTTTTTTTCTTTTTTAGTAGAAAAAATATATATAGATGTAAATAATAGATATAGATTTTCTTTTTTTCTTTTTTTTTTTTGTGTGTGTATCAGAAAATATATAGATAATATAAATAATAGATATAGATTTTTTTTTCTTTTTTTTTCTTTGTTTATTAGAAAATATAAAAATACAAATATAGATAGATTTTTTTTCTTTTTCTTTTTTTTTTCTTTTTCTTTTTTTCCCTCAGTGTTGTAAGAGGGTGAACAGAAGATATAAAAATGAAGGTTTCATTTCGTAATAATCTGTATGCAATTTGTGCGAGTATGTATGTGTAGCAATCAGATGATAATGTGTATGTAGATATACATGTTATAGACAGTGTACGTGAGCTTATTGTGTGTACATTTACGTAAATATGTATGTACCTCTGTGTAGGTGACGTGTTGTGCAAGTGCGCTCCCTAATAGCTGTGTGCGTGTGTGTGTGTGGCGGGTTGTTTGTGTGTGTGTGTGTGTGTGTGTGTTGTTTTGTGTATGCGTGTATATATTATGTGTGTGTGTGTGCGTGTGCGTGAGCGTGTGCGTGTGCGTAATGTATAAACGTACATAGACAACTAACAGAATACATACATACATATACAAACACACACCCCACTCCTCAGAACAATACACAAACACAGTTAACCTAACATACACAGGTACCCAAACCGAGGCACATATACACAACATACATCCTCCATTATATATACACAGGTACAAAAAAAAAAAAACTTGTAACAACACAATACGGTCCAGACGATTCAATGGTTAACATCAACTCGCAACGGCTGACGAAATCCAACTGGCGAGAGATAACGGTTCGAAAATACGACAAAAGAAGTCTTGGACAACGGGCGTAATAATTTTTTTCCCACGGTAGGTTCGTTATAGGTTCGTTTCCCCTTCAGTGA